ATTATGGTGCTGGCAAAGAATATGCAAAGTACTAGGGACTGCCAAAAGAATGAACTAATCGGTCTTGGAACAGGACCAACCAGAATACTTCTTGGAAGTGAGGAGGATAAGACTTTGTCTCATGTACTTTGGACGTGGTATCAGGAGAGACCAGTCCCTGGAGGAGGACATCGGGCTTGGTGAAGCAGTCGGGTAGCCAGAAGAGGAAAGCCCCGACAACATCAGTTGACACAGTGGCTGCAACAGTGCGCTCCAATGTCACAATTGTGGGGATGGTGCAGGACCAGGCAGGGTTTCCTTCCGTTGTAAGTAGGGTCGCTAGGCGTTGACCCTATGCAACGGCACCTAACAACAACAACAACAACAACCAACAGATTCTTGCCCTCATTGTAGGCACACACCACAGGTCTAGAATGTACCAGGAGAAGGGCTGGGTCTAAGTGTGAGACGAAGCATCTTCTGCTTCACCTGTTAGTCACCGCGGGTCAGCTCTGATTCATGGAGACCTTGTGTGTAACAGGAAGCCACCGTGCCCTGCCCCGTGTCACATCAGTGGCCCTTGGGCTGTTTGAGTCCCTTGTCCCGCTGTTGTCAGTCCGTCCGTCTCATTGAGGGGCTCCTTTGTTTCTGCTGGCCCTCTGCCTTACCTGACAGGGCGTCCTTTGCTGGGATTGGGCTCGCCTAATGACACGTGCAAAGTAAGAGCACTCGGGTTGCATTTTGTCTGAGGTTGAGTGGTTAGCTCTGCTGGGAGTTGCCCAAAGAGCCCTGGTGGTCAGTGTTCAGCTGCTGAGCAAGAAGTGATGGTCGGACACCACCATGCAGGGAAATGACTGGACGAGCTGCTCCGGTGAAGTGCATGACCAAGAAACCTTGCGGTCATGTGGTGCCATTGAGTCGAAAACAACGTGACAGCACCCAACAGCCACAAAATCCAATCAGTTCTGACTCATAGCGAGCCCATAGGACAGAGTAGAGCTGCCTGACAGGGCTGAAGAGGCACTGTATATTTATGGGAGCAGACAGCCTCATCTTTCTCCTGTGGAGTGGCTAGTGGCTTTGAACTGTTGGCCTTGTGTTCAGCAGTCCAACGTGTAACCACCAAGGCTCTTCAGCCACAGGAAGGAGTGGCCGAGTTGCCCTTCCGACTCTCTCCACCACCTGCAGCATGTGAGTTCCTGCTGCTCCCCTACTTCCACTTCAGAGTCAGACGCAAAAACTCTGCAAGTCTAATGGGCCTGCGAGAGCACTTCCTCATTTCTGGGTGCATTCTCTGATTACAAGTGAGATTGAGGATCTATTAAGTGCCTGTTTGAGTTTCCTCATTAACAAAAGGACCTGTTCAGAGTCTTCCTCCATGTTTCTATTGAGTCCCCTCTGCTTTCTTATACAATCTTATAAGAAAATTCTGGATTTTAGTATTTTGTAGGTCAGATGTGTGGCAAATAGCTTCTCCCAGTTGGTGACGAATTAAAAAAATTTTTGTTGATTGTATCTGTCATGACCAGGAACTTTATGTTTTAAGGTGGTTGAATTGATCCATCTTTTTCTAATGGGTAGTGCTTTGGGAGGCTTTGTTTCCAAACTCCTGGCGCTTGCTTGGGGCTCAGAAAGCTGTGCTTTGGGGCCTGAATGAAGATCATTTTGCACCTCTGGCCTCTTTTCCTTGTTGTAAAGAGACCTCCTTTTGGTTGGTCTTGGTATTGTCTGTGCTTGCCCCGCCTTGGTCTCTGGGTAGGGGTTGGAGCACAGGCTGTGGAATGGGCCTGGTGACTGGGCAGACAGGGCAGGGCAGAATTGGGGCTCCGGGCCTACTCCTTCTTGACCCTGTGGCTGTTTGTGCTGAAACACAGCTTGGATTGGATCTCCCCGGACACTGACTTCTCGCAAGCTTGATAGAAGTGATCACAACGTTGTTCCCTCCCCAGCCCTCCCATTTAACGTCACTGATCAGCTCTCACTTCCTGCTGCTGCTAGGCGACATTGCAAAAGCAGAAGCAGCCTGTGGGACACCTCCTGCTTCACATTGTCACCCAGGCCTGACCCGGGTGGACGTGAGCGTGTGTATGGAGCGCTTATAAATGTTCCTCTGGTATAGTTATAACGAGGGCGAAAGAAAATTAAGTTAACTAGAGAGTGGCTGCTGAGGCTGCTTGTGTTCATCCAAACACCTCATGGGTTTTGGTTCCTTGATTTGGAGGGTCATGGCCTCAGTTCATTGGTTCATTGCCTAATGCTTGACCTCCTCATTTCTTGTCTCATGCCAGGCGTCTTAAAAGCTTGCAAGTGACCACCCAAGGCACTGACCAGTTGGTCTCAGTTTACCTGGAGCAGAGAGGAAGAAGGGGCGTCAGGAACAGGAGGATATGAAATATGTGGCTAATGACCGTCATCAACAGTAACTTCCTTTGCTATGAAACGAAAAGGACCACGTAGAGGGTGCCCGACTGTGGTTACTAAAAGATTCTGTAACAGACTCCTGATCAAAAGGGGGAAATTGTGTAACAGAATTTCTAGTTTTCGTGACTCCCTAACGTTTCTGGAACAATTAAGGCCACACGAATCCCGGAAACTATTGCTCTGAAGTAGTCTTTAAACCAGAAACATTCCCAGAGGTTTTCTGAAAACCAAACAGTAGTTTAGCTTAACCAGTAAAGAATGTCTGCCTTGAGCTTTCTGCTCTTTTAAGAACCAGTCTCTATGGGATTAAATGGGCAACTGCTACTTGGAAGCCTAGATAGGAACTGTGGGATGGGGGGGAGGCGGGGGCTGGTAGTGAAGTTATGTTAATGGGGGAGGAACAGTTTAGAGAAAGAGTGTGAAAAAGATCATGCTGCAAAATGTGCTCCTTGTCAAATGGTTAAATAGTATTTGCTTGGCGTGTATATTCTCAAGGTAAAGATACCATCTAGAAACTCGTCCCTTGGTTTCCTCCCTCCTGGGAGCTCACAGTGTTTCCGAGATGAGTTAGTTAATTGTGCCAGCCTGGCCGATAATCACATGTGGGTCTGGTTGAAAGGCGGAGGGATAAATGGGTGGTGAAGCCTCGCCTTTCTAGTTCTCGGGTCTCTTGTTTTGTAATGGTTGCATC